CACACTGGTGGCATGCTGGCTGGGTAGCAGGCCCCTATGAACAGGTGTGACCTCACCCAGCTTCCGCACACTGGTGGATGCTGGCTGGGTAGCAGGCCCCTATGAACAGGTGTGACCTCACCCGGCTTCCGCACACTGGTGGATGCTGGCTGGGTAGCAGGCCCCTATGAACAGGTGTGACCTCACCCGGCTTCCGCACACTGGTGGATGCTGGCTGGGTAGCAGGCCACTGTGCGAGGCCCTGTGGAGATACAGGTGTTACTAAGGTCTGGGTCGGGCTGGCCTCAAGGAGTTTGCAGTGGAGAGAGAGAAAGGATTAGGTTCTTGGCGTTCAGTAAGTGATCAGTCAGTGGTGAGGAAATGAGGATGTAGGAAGCTCTGAGCAGGGCAGCATGTACACGAACTTGGCACAGGCTTGCAGGAGTCCTGAGGGAAGGAATTACTGGTCTAGAGGTCGGGAGAACTTGGTGGAAGAGAGGACAGTTGGCCTGGGTCTTCAGAAGTGGGTGAGTGTTGGAACGGGGAGGATGTGAGGATATGTTAGACAGGCAAACATCTTGAGCACAAGGCCTGGGAAATGCAGAATATGGTTGGGAATAGTTTCTGGAAATCCCTCCCCCAACAGTCCTATTGCTCTCATCTCTCTCCCTGGTCTGGCCTTCACTGCCACCAGGATGTTCCTTATAAAAACAAACAAACAAAACCCCAAACTTACCATATTGTTGTAATACCCCAAAATTCCAATGCACTTTTGTACTTGAAAAGGAACAAGATACTCTATGCATTTTGGTGTGCATTCATTTTTAACAATTAGCATTTCTCTCAATATATTCCCAAAGTATTCACACAACTAGTAAATCATGAGGTCAGCCACTCAGATTTCCCCAAACATTTAGTTACTGATTGCAAGCTTAGTTACGCTTCCCCAAGTCTAACATGCCAAATTCTTCTAAATTTTTTAAACGCTTTAAAATGAAACAGGTCATCCCATTTTGTTAGAATGACCACAAAACTGACAGCTAAACAACAGTGCTTGTGCCGCAGATTTAAATTTGTTTTCTTACGACCTCTTAATATTATGTCCTTCTCCCTTACCATGGCCCTGTTATTTCTGACTCTTACGTCTTGGTCCTCGGCCGCCCTCAGAGCCAGGGCTGATACCTCGGGCCGGTGGAGGTTGCGGTGTTGGCTGACAGGCCCTGAGTCACGGGTGGGTCTTTACAGGTGATCCTGCTTGAGCCATAGCAGGCACTCTTACAGTTAGGCTTTCTCTAGAACAGTGGTCGCCAACCTTTCGGACCTCATGGACCACCAGTGGTCTGCGGACCACCAGTTGGCGACCGCTGCTCTAGAACGGTCCATGTTGTTAGCTCTGCATAATCAGATGCGTTTGGATTGTGACTTTGGCACTTTCTTCCAAATGTGACATTTTTTCTGAGTGTCTCGTTTTTTTCATCAACCTGATCTGTGTCTGTGTTGAAACTCTTCCTTCCAAATGGGGCCTGGTCTGCTTGCATTAAATCCCAAGCCTTCAGTCTGTTTGCTTCCCCAAATGACAACTTTGTTCCTCTTGTTGACCATCAAGACCTTGTAATGACGGTGGAATCAGCAGCTCAGGGTCTGAGCCCGGGAGGAGGATGTGAGTCGGAAGGGGGTGGCTTTGGGAGAAAGGATGGTCTCCATGAGACGGAGCAGATTGAGAGTGGAGAGTCCACCCTACGCCCGTCTGTGTGTCAGGGCCTGCCCCCTGCCTGGACCACAGGAAGGGCACGGGCAGGTTTTGCTGAACAACGGAGGGAATGGAGAGGTGAGGGAATGAGTGGGCTACGTGGGGCAGGGGGTCCTGGCAGGCTGTGCTGTGCTTTCTTCCCGTGGCTGTCCCATGGCCTGGGAGAGGGGACGCTTGGTCTCTGCTGTCAGCAGGTGGATTGAAGATCCTAAAGTGAGTCCATCGTCATGAACTTTGACTTTGAGCTAGTTAAGTTTCACTTTATCATTTTTACTTTACAAGTGTTAAAAAAGGGGGGGTGGTGGATTTTCTTTGACACGTCCTGGATTTCCAAGAGCTTTCCTTCTGATGATGATATGCTGTTTTGAGTGAGTGGACGCTTTTAATCGTATTCCGTCTAACCTCTTTAATATAAACAGGCAGCTGTGTGGTGGGGCAGTGTCTGGAGTGGGAGGTGTTGAACACTTTCCACCCTTGTCTCCAGCGTCTCGGTAGATATGGTCATGTTTGCCACGGGGAGTGTTGGATTCCTGTGCTCTAACAGCAGGCAGGCAGGACCGAGGCGTTTCCTGGTGGCAGGGCAGTGGTGGGGATGAGTGGGGAAAGGGCGCATTGAAGAAGTTGACAAAGCTGCCTCTGCGTGGACCACGCCCTCTGAAAACAGCTGTTGTCCAAGTTTCTAGAATCTACCATAGCTCTTTGAGGTGCCACCTCTTCACGCTAGGGTGTCTCAGGCCGCCCTCGAGGAGGGCTCCTTCAGGTCTGCCCTGGCTCGTTGTTGACTGTCACTTGCTCTGGATTCCAGGAGAGGGCAGTAGGGTGGCAAGAATGACTCTCTCCTTCCCCCTCCTCGCCTGCCTTCACCTTAAACCCATTTCCAGGCTGTGACAGCCTCAGAAGGGAGAGGCTCGAGAAACAGACACTGGAAATGGTGTGAGGGAGAGGGGGGCGGGAGGGTGGCGAGCTGGCCTCGTGTTGCTGGTGAGAAGCCGTCTGCTGATCCCAGGAGCGGAGGGAGCTGGGCTTTGG